ACAGAGAGAATCTTTAGTGTGTGTGCATTGGTTCTGTGGAGTCCTCTCTCAAATGTGGAATACCTCAGGGATCTATACTCAGAACCCTTCTGTTTTCCCTTTATTTGCTCCCTCTGGGATATTTTCTCTGGAAAAATGGCATTACTTTTAATTTTGATGCCGATGACAGCCAAATGTATGTGCCATTAAAACAAGGCAAACAGTACTCTGTGAACCAACTCCTGGAACGTATGGCAGAAGTCAGAGCATGGATGTCACAAACTTTTTTACTTTTTTTTTATTCTTTATTTTTGAAACATTTAGAAGATTGCAAGAGCTTGATATCGCCTCAGGGTCATAGTTCCAGTCTGTGCTCACTGTCAAAATTCATTCTCTTTAACATTTCCAGTTACAACATCAAACAAACAACAACCAAAAAGACAAACACACAAACAAATAATAAATAACTAAATAATCAAGAACAAAAAAAGTCAACAAGGGGGAATTAATTTGAAAATATATTACTTGTATGTACTTAACCTTAACCATGAGGAAATTAGATAGCAAATAAACACTTCCTACAAAATGAAACTGCTCCTTACTATAATTTCTTACGAATCAATCCAATATTCTTGCTTGTTGTGTCTGGTTAACATAGGATTGACCATAGGATTGTAAACTTAATTAATCTGTATGGATTGAGAATGTTAATCTCTCCATCTGATCGATTTTATTAACACACTGTCCATTCTTCTAGAGTGGGGGGTTCAGGGAGGAGCTAGCGTTTGGTGACAGCTTTCTTACAATCTGTAATTAAGATTTGATACAAATATTTTGTTTTGTCAGGTAAAGATTCTGTATTACCTAAGGGTAGAGAATTTAAAAGGTTTTCTTATATTAAAACTGCTTTCGATATAGGTTTTGAACCAGAAAGACTATCATGAGAAAGTTATGACACTCCTTAGTGATTTAAACACTTATGAACCTCTGAAAAGAGATCCAGGAAGTGGTTACAAGAAGAAATTGATAGATTGCCTGAAAATTTTGGAACAGGACAAGGCTATTGACTGTTTTCTGTACCACAGACTGTACCCAGGGGAGGCCACACCTAATCTGTATGGTTTACCTAAAATCCACAAACAAGGTGTACCTTTAAGACCAACTGTTAGCATGATTAACTCTGTCACTTACAATGTTTCCAAATATCTAGCGTCTGTACTCATCCCTTTAGTTGGCAGCTCAGAACACCACATACAGAACACCATGGACTTTGTGGATAAGGTGAGGGATCCAGTCCCCCAGCACAAACAGAGCAATGTTGTGTATGCTGTTCAGTGTCAGGAGAGTGATCGGTCTTACATCGGGAAACAAAACAGCCACTGGCCAAAAGGATGGCCCAGCACAGAAGATCAACATCATCAGGCCAGGACTCTGCGGTCTACACTCATCTCCAGGCCAGCGGTCACTCTTTCAGGGATGAAGATGTTCACATCCTGGACAGAGAGGAACGATGGTTTGAGAGAGGAGTAAAGGAGGCCATCTTTG